GATGTACACTCAGCTGGCAGCTAGGGATCCAGTGATTTTAATCACACACCCTGACCTTCCTGAACCTGGCCTGATGTTAATGACCTTAACATTTCCTCATGGGTAACACAACTACCACATGTGAACTGTGGCTGCCAGATAGCTTCCCTTTCCCAACAAAATTACAGTAAAATATTTATGTGTGCTTGTCACTTCAAGTCTGAAAGTTTTTAATACAAACTATATAAATATTGTAAACACAAGTTTATGCAATGCAAACAATATAGAAACATAAATAGTAGTGATAGTCCCACACAGAATTCCCAAAGGTAACCAATTCTAGTACAGTTTGGGTCTTTCTGGGTTATTTCAGATGTCATTCATTCATTCATCTGGTATTTATAAATCACCTATACTGTCTTAAGCTGAATGCAGGGGATACTGTTACAAAAAGATAAAAACATGGTCCTTTGTTACATGGATCTTATATAAGTTTAAATACAAATGCCCCCACACCACTTGGTGAATTATTAATAAAGAAACTAACTCCTGTCTCAGCTTTCTTTTTCTGCTAGAGTCACCAAGGCAGAGTGAAAGATCTCCTATACCTGCTTCCACTGGGAGAAGGAAGGACACAGAGGTGCCAACTTCTCCCTTCACCTTCCACTCCACTGCCACCCACCATTGCTAACTTTTGTGTTGTGTCACAGACTGATTAGGGGGCTTAAGGTGGATTGTCATGGAGAAGGCTCCAAGGACTGGAGGAAATCAAAGCAATCTGGCTAGGAGAGCAGTTGAGGAGAATAGAAAATGAAAAAGGGATTCTTCAACCCTGAGAGAAGAAAGAGGAGTTGAGGGTTCCTGGGGGTAGTAGTGACTCGCCCTCCCACTCCTAGTACTCCATGGAGGCCTGATTTCAAGGTGGACTGAGGAGGCAGAATATCAGGTGTGTCCATTTGGGGGTCCTACCCCAGGCAAGCTCTGATTTGCTTTCACTGTAGATTGGTTTTGCCTTTTCTAAATTTCCATGTAAGTGTTCCATTGTACAGTATATACTCATTTGTGTCTGGCTTCTTTCAGCATAATTATTTTGAGATTCATCCATGACTGTGTATCTATACTTCATTTCTTTTTACCACTAAGTTGTATTCCACTGTGTAGTATACCACAGTTTGATTATTTATTCACCTGCTGATGGTCATTTGGGGTGTTTTCCTGTTTTTGTCTATTGTGAATAAAACAAAACAACTCTGATTCAATGTATTTTATATATTTGGGCTTGTGTGTCATTTCAGTTGAAAAGAGAAACTTGGTTTCTATACTGAAAAAAAAGAAAGAAAAAGGGAAAGGAAGGAGGGAGAAAGAGTTTAGTTTTTGAAGCCGGGGACAGAGCTGGGCTTGATGCTGACTCTGTATCTAGTTCACACACTTCATGTGTGTCAGTTTTCTTACTTGGAAAATGAGAACAAATCTACACAGGGTTTTTGAGAGACTGGAATTCAGTGAAATCACATATATAAAATCACATATATAAAGTGCATAGTGAGTGCTCAAAAGTAGTATTTCTCTCCCATCCCTGCCCTGGAGAGAAAAGGCCAGCTGGAAGGGCTCTCTGACCTTGTTTTGCTCAGCAGACCAGATGTACATGAGTAATTTCTAATCAGTGTCACTCTGAGGGCTGTCTGTGAGTTTGGCTGATTTAGCCCAAGCGCGTATTGTCTGCTTCAAATTGTATTCTATGGACTTTTGGTAATTCTAATTATACTCTAAATAATTTTTTTTAGTTGATTAACTATTCAAAGCCTTAAAGTACCCTATATTATCTTTAGCTTTGTAGGGGATGTTAGATAAAATGAAGAGAATTTGAGGTTGCTGGTTGATAAGTAGTGGAAAGTTCCTACCAGCTAGCTGCTAGGAAGTTTCTAGAATAACAAGCTCATCAGATACCAGGGATAATGAGCTTTACAGTACAGCCGACTCTGGGAAAGGCGACAGCTTTGTCTAAGTCGCTCACTGGAGATTCAAAAGATTTGTATTGTCAAAAACCACTCTGTGGGAGTCAAAGAGAAAGAGATGCTGAAACAAGCAGCTACTTGAAAAATAACCACCTGAAGCACCTGGAAAAACAAAGCGCTTAGAAAGGTCATGTCTAATCTAATGAAGACCTAGATGAGGACAGAGACCTGGGCCAAGAGTGGAGTCTTGTGATCGTTCTGCCTCTAGTTCTTGCAAATCCCTTTGGGGGTTTGGATTCATCATCCGTAATGAAGGGGTTGGGCCAAGGTTGCTTTCGTTTCTGACATCCTATAATTTTGTGATACTGATTAATCCATGGATGTCAGATGCTGGGAACTTGGCTACCTGATCAAGTTTCTGATGCCCCATATGAGGTAACTCTGACAAAAGCACAAGCTGAGTGGGTTTTTGAGGCAAAAAGAAAAGGAACGAAGCTGGGGCCAAGGGTGGGGCTGGGAGAACAGTTAGTTCAGTTTTTGACCTGCTCTGCTCCAGATTAAGGTCAGATATTACCATATATGTGCTTGAAGTCATTTGGAGCAAAAAACATGGTGCTTCGATGAAGAAATCACAGCTGGAGAAGTAGAATTGAGGGTCCTTGGCAAATCAATTTCAGCAGATATTTATGGAACAGCTATTAGTACAAACTAATAAGCAGCAGACATTTATTTAGCTCTGAAAGAACCAAAAAGAAAGGAGACACTGACTTGTATTCAGGAATTTATAATACAAGACTCTGGCCCAGGATGGCAGAAGATGTATGAGAAATACAGTATTTTGGATTCAGAGGAGGCTTGTAGATCTAGGGCATTGGGGAGACTTCATGAAGGAGGTGGCATTCAAAGTAAGATGTGAAGAAAGACTTACACTTGGTTGATGGAAATGGAGGAGGGGAAGGACATGTCAGGGAGAGGCAAGTGAGTACTGACAGTTGGACTGGCCAGGTTTGGAGCTTTGCTCATACTACCAAGAAGCCTGATTGGAACTTGAGCATAGGCTATGCATAAAGAAACAGTGGGAGTAAAGCTCTGGGTAGATCAAAGTTATAAACATCACACATCATCAAATTCAGTATAGTTCATGCTTAAACAATGTGGAGGTTAGGGATGCCAATCTCTTGCACCATTGAAAAACCTTCCTGGGCCTCCCTGGTGGCGCAGCGCTTGAGCGCTGGGTTGCGAAGCTGCCCACAGCCTCTGCAGCGCCGGTTCAATCCCCGGCTGCTCCCCGGCCACCGGAGGAGGGTCCCACATGGCGCGCAGACCTCTCCTGCCACCCGCTGCTCCTCTCAGCAGTGTACTTCGGTCCTTCTGCCTGTTCTGCTCCCGCTCTGGCTCTGGTGAATTCTCTCACCCTCCCGCGCTTCTGACTGTACCCAGTGCTTGCATAAATATTTAAAAATAAATCTTAAAAAAAAAAAAAGGAAAAACCTTCCTATAAGTTTTGACTCCCCTAGAATTTAACTATTAATAGACTGCTTACCTGGAAGTCTTAACAATCACATACACAGTTGATTAACATGTATTTTTTATGTCATATGTATTATAGCCTGGATTCTTGTAATAAAGCAAGCTAGAGAAAAGAAAATATTATCAAGAAAATCATAAGAAGGAAAAGATGCTTTAAAGTACTGTATTTTAATTATTGAAAAAGTTCACATGTAAATGGACCATGTAGCTCAAACCTGTGTTGTTCGGGCCTCACCTGTGAAACGGAGAGCTGTGGTACGTGAGAGAGCTGCGGATGCTGGGGTCAGGCTCATCTCTGAGTCTTCAGTTTTCATAAGTCAAAAGGAGAATTTTTATGATCAATGATTTAAAGTCTATAAAAGAAGTCAGTGCTGAATCCCCACCAGCTAAGTCAGAATTAGAGAAGGCTTCCTAAATCCATGAAGTCTTTTCTACACAAGTCTACACTAAGTTTTCCGTGCAATCATCAGGCTAACAAAACACAGTGAGCCTGCCCTCTCGAAAATCCTTGCACCCTTCCTAAAATGTCACCAAGAGAGCAGCCAGGTGGTGGGATCTAAAAGAAGGGAAATTTTGATTGAGAACCAGAGTGAATTTTATTCAAAAACTAGGAGTGTAGGCTTTCTGACCTTTCCCGTCTTTTAACCTCCTCTTTTATATTCCAAATGCTGCTTTCCCTATTCCACAAAACATCGTGCCCTTTCAACAGCTTCCTTGCCATGACATGGTGAGAAAAGGGAGAGGTGCAGGAATAACGAGCTGATGTTTGCAAAGGGCTTTGGAAGTCTTGGCTGGAACATGCTACACAAACACAGGATATTACTTCTAAGCTGCTGCTTAAGACAGGAGAGACAGGGAGGAGCAGTCTCCTAATGTTCTGGGGCAACAGTGGGGGGCAGATCAGGGGAACAGGAAATAACCAACAACTTCCCAGAGCTTGAGAGTAGAGCAGTGGGGGGTTGAGGCTTTGAACCATCTCAGTAAGGAGAGTGGCAGACTTTTCAGAATATAATGGAGGGACGCAAACCCTCCTTGGCAACTCAGCTGTAAAGATGAAAATTTTTTTTTTGCAAATAAATCATTGACTAGAAGACTTGCAGGAGGTGAGCAAGGATCCTGGCACCTTGTGCTGTCCTGCTGGGAGTTTTTGGATACAAACTTCCTGAAGAGAATCTCTGAGTCCATCTGGACAAGCACCCTAGGGAGAGCCAGACCTTCCGTCTCCGTGCCCATGCTGACTTTGACATTGAAGGTCAAAGCCACCACAAGAACCAGACTCTGTTCTTTGCTGTACAAGGCAAAAGGGGAGACTGCTTCCAGAACCCCAACTCTAGTGCATACTAAAGCAGTCCCTAGGCTGCCCAAGCAGCCTTCACATTCTCTTAACAGTCCTCGTGGGAACACCTCCCTGCCTCACAAACCACCCCTCACCTCCCAAGTTATGGCTCCCATGACTTCATATGTATTAGAAGTTGCAGGTCTAGAAGCTGAAAAAAGAGAGAGAGGTATCTAATTTAAAGACTGTCAATGAGGTCCTGGATGACTTTGGACGTCCGCACTGCCTAGGAGCGGTGACTTCGATCGGCCTTGCAGGCTTGTTCTCATCTTCCCAGCCCAAGGCCTCTCCCGCAGCCATGCTCCACCAGATCTTCAGTCAGGCCAGGAAGCACCCTAGCTTGATCCCACTCTTCATATTTATTGGAGCGGGAGGTACTGGCGCAGCGCTCTATGTCATGCGTCTGGCTTTGTTCAATCCAGATGTCAGTTGGGACAGAAAGAATAACCCAGAACCCTGGAACAAATTGGGTCCCAATGATCAATACAAGTTCTATTCAGTGAATGTAGATTACAGCAAACTGAAGAAAGAAGGTCCAGACTTCTAAATGAAATATTTCACTATAAAGCTGCTTAAAATGAAGGTCTTCCAGAAGCCGTCCGCACAATTTTCCACTTAACCAGGAAATACTTCCCTCTAAATGCACGAAATCATGTTGGTGTATTCTGTAGGGGTTTACACTGATTAATAAATATATCTGAAACTTGAAAAAAAAGAAAAAAGAAAAAAAAAATAAAGACTGTCAATGAAGCCTTTCCTTACCCCAGCATTTATGGGAATTACTTTTGAAAAAGATTAAAAATGGATTCATCCCCATTGTTTCGGTATACTTTTATGAGTCTCCATTGCATGCAAAACACCCAGCAAGCAGCATGAGAAGGAAAAAGAAATGAGGATGATTTCATTGATATTTGTAATCTGGTAAAGTAGACAAACATATGCATAAATTACAAGCAGGCAGACAACAATCACACAGAAACACAGAGGGTGAAAAGGGACTTTTGTGCACCAGGGGCAGAGGGAGGGTGTGTGACATGGCTTGGCATTGGCTGGGCCCTTCCAAAGGGAGGAGGGGGAGGACTCAGCAAGTGGCTGTGGATATGGAGAAGGGATCCTCTGCAGCCAAGACCCAAGGCGAGGAAATGTAGGAAATGGAGACCAAGTTCGTCCAGAATAGACCTCTGGTGGGCAGCATGATGGCAAGTGCCAAGGACAGCAGCTTTGGAGAACAGGCTGAGGAGTTTGGGCTTAGTTCTCTGTGAGTTAAAAATGGCAGTAATAGGTGTCTCCCTTGTGGCGCAAGGGGTTAAGCACAGCACAATGAAACTATCAGCAACCCCTGCAGCAAGAGTTCCATCCCCGGCTGGCCAGGGAGCTACCCACATGGTGCAGCAGACCTCTCCTGTCTTGCCTGCTGCTCCTCTCAGCAGCGTATTTCAGACAACCCACCTGTTTTGTTCTCCACTCTGTCTCCGGTGAATCCTCTCACCCCCCACACCTTTGGCCTGTACCCAGTTCTTGTATGCATAAATAAATAAATCTTTTAAAAAATGGCAGTAATAGTGTTTGTTAAAAATGACAGTAATAGTGTTCTATTGGGGTTTGCACAGAGCAGGGAGGCTGCTACAACAGACCAAGAGAGAGAAGCTGAGGCTCTGAACCCTGGGGATTAAATTCCTAAGCATTCCTCATTCTCCCACGAGTCGTCTGGAGCATAGAGTACTAACATAGAGATAGCACAGCTCTCTCCATACCAAGAAAGTGGATCCATGCACCACCCTAGGGATGTGAGAGGGGTGACGGTGACAGTTGTCACAGATACCTGACCTCTGAATTTATACTGCAATCTGGGATCTTCACCCACAACCCCTCCTACTGGCTGGTTTCAGCAAAGGGGGAGAGAAAGGGCCAGAGAACGACTCTTGGCCAGCGTGGGCTGGGGTGTGGCTCCGATGCCTGAGAAGTCCAGCTGAATGTGATATAGGTTGAACATTTTAGATTTTATGAATGTTTATTTTGTACAGTGCTAGTCACTCTCTACTTGCTACTCCCCTCTCAGATCTGTCCTGTGCCAAGAGAGCTGATGATCTACAGAATCGCCAGGGCTCCCTTGCCATCTGGTTTCGAGTTGAGCTTGACCTGCTTCTAAGGAATCATACTCAGACATCACCCACTATGGGTTCCCCCAACTCTGCCTGCACTCTATACCTACTCCCATCACTCATCATCTTCTAGTGATGAGAATTTTTGCCAGCATGCCATGTTTTCTGCCAGGACCCTGACATATAATCCTCTATATGTACTATTTTTTTTTTTAATCCTTATGGTATCCCTGGGAGGAATTATTTCCATTTTTAAGAAAGGGAAATGAGACACAGGGAGGCTAAGAGATTTGCTGTAGCAGCAACCGTCATGCTTGCCAATTATAATGCCCCCCTACACCTACACCCCCACAATAGAGGGATTATAGGACTAGTCCTGGCCTGTCCACTGGGCAAAGAAGCAGATATGGAGGCAAAGAAGGGAGGGGCTTACCAGGCATCCCCTTCCTCAGCCAGCACAACTGTGGGGACTTCACCTTGGCAGGCACATGTGTGAACAGCCAGTACTGCTTAGCATTGTAGAGAGGAGAGCTTCCTTGGACCCACAGCCAACCTTGCATGAGTGAAAAAAAACTTTGATGTGTCAGGCCAAGAAGTGTTACTTTAGAACCTATTCTTTTCTAAGGTCACTTAATTAGTAAAATAACAGGAGCAGGATATAAGCAGGATATAAGACAGCTCCAAGTCTTGTGCTATGGACCAGGAATTAATTAGAGGAAGAAAAAAAAAAAAAGAAGAAGAAAGAAACACAGTACTAGGTCAAAGGAAGCCAGGGCCTGGGGCACTTTCTCTTGCTCACTTTTTCCACCTCTGTTCCACCCTTTCTCACACAGACACCCATAAAATTAAGAGCTCATATTTCTTAAGTGCTTATGTGTGTAAAAGGCTTTGCTTTATCTTATTCAGTCCTCATATATATACACATGAACTATGTTCTATTACAACCCACATTTTTCATTTGCAGGAACTGAGTTCAGAGAGGTTAAGTCATTTTCTAGTTCACATAGGTGGTGTCAGCTCTGGGATTTTAATTCACACTATGTGACATCAATACCCACCTGTTATTCTCTACTGTGTCCCAAGACTATTGCCAGTGCCAACAGAGGAAAGGTATGAAGGTGGCAAACACACACACACAGGAGAGAGAGAGAGAGAGAGAGAGAGAGAGAGAGAGAGAGAGAGAGAGAGAGAGAGAGAGAGAGAGAGAGAGAGAGAGAGAGAGTGTTAAACCACTTAGGACAGAAAGGAGCAGATCCAATGAGCCATGAGTGTTGAAAATGTTTCCTGCCATACCATCTAAGCATATGCCCTCACCAGGTGAGTTAAAGACGCTTCCCATCAGATTATTTAGAGCTGCAGCACCCAAGGGCTGCTCCTAAACTTGGAACAGTTTCTACCTCGCAGGTCAGTGGTTTGGTTTTGGGAGCCAGCCATTTAATGGGCCGGTGTGCTCATCAAGGCAGCTGTCTATGCCCAGGCAAATACAGGGTCTTGGACTGGTGGGACATTCACGCACCAGCAATTGCAAGTGCCACCATGCAAATGATTCTTCTAGGCAACAATTAAATTTCACTAAGAGTGGGTGTGACATAGTTAGCCTCCGGCATTCAGATACCTATTCTGCACACAATAGTGACATTAAGCATATCAGCGATTTCTGAGTCACCCAACACATTCATTCTCTTGCTTAGCCATATCATTTTCCCTCTAGGGTTCTGTTTCTTTCTTAGCCAGTCTTCCATTTGACTCATATAAGTACACAAATGCTACAAAGGAATTTGTCTTAGGGAGACAAAGTTATATGTATTTTTAAATGGAATTACATAAGGTAAATTTGCCTAAACAGAATACAACCTAGTTTAGCCATTCATTTGTCACTCTGTCTAGGTTGATAACCCAGCCCAGGTTGTAAGCAACATCCATACATTTAGGTACATTGATTTCTAGTGTTTTGTTCTGGTTATAGCAATATTTTTTTTTCTTTCTACAAAAGATATCTTTACCTAAGGGGAAAGTGCCTTTTAATATGGGAGGAAACTTTCTTTACAAGCAATATGCTGGAGTAGATAGCTGTGAAAACTGTGCTAACAAACAAGAATTAGATATAATGATTCTGAAACTTTCAAAAATAAATGTGGCTGCATTTTTAGAAAGCAGGGGAAAGTCTCAGGAGTTAAAAGTAAAAAAGAGACCATGAAAACAGATTATTATGTAGTATGCAGATTCTGGCAGCTTCTATATAAAGACCTCACAAAGGAGCTTACCAATCTCATTTTCCAAAAGTCATGGGCTTCAGAGGCTTTATCAAATAAGGAGACAGGCCCATATAGGTTAAGAAATTTGAAATAAGATCCTTCACATTTGTATACCACCCTCAGCATAAAAATGGACCTGAAAAACTTTGTGCAAAGTTTTTGCAAAGACACAACAAAGAAACATAATAACAAAGAAACATAACTACTTTGTCCTTGATTCTAGATGCAGGCAAAAATATCCCCTGAAAACCATGTGTAACCATGGCCTTCTTAACATAGATTTGAGAAATAAATTAAAATCATTTGGTCTGTCCAGAAACCACAGAAATCATCCAGGCTGCCCAGACACCACAGAGCTGACTGAGAGTACCTGGCAGAAAAAAGAAAACTTTTTGGAGGTTTATCTTTTGGGATTTATCTTGTCAATGAATAAATAAATAAATATGTGCAATGGTTCAATGCTGAAATCTTCCCAAAGATATGGTTGTAAATAAAAATTTTACTCTGCTTTAGTAGAATACTAAATTTTGTTGTAAACTAAAGTGGCAGTAAGAATTATGAACAGAAAAATGCCCAAAAATCTGCCGAGAACAGAGTATACAGACAAAAAAGAAAAATATGGAAGGGAAGGAAAGAAACATGATGAAGGACAGAATGAGAAGTCTTAAAGCATAATACACTGGAATTCTATAAGTGTAATGAAGAATGATCAAATATTAAAAAGCAAGAAATTGCAGAGTTGATGAAATATATAAATCCTCAGACTTAGGAGTTATATTAATTGCAAACTGAATAATAAGAAATTATCCTCAAGTGACATCACTGTGAAACCACAAAGCACCAAGACAAAGAGAGGACCTTAAAAGCTGCTAGGGAGAAAAGACAGTTTATATAAAAAGGAATAACAGTTACACAGTCAGCCAGTTTCTTTTCTTTTTTTTTTAATATTTTATTTTATATAATTCTTACATCGTTTTTCATTTTTGCACAATGTATGCATTTTCATTTTGGTTATATTCCCCATACAATTGCACCCCCCTTTATTTTGACCCTAATCCTTCCTCTCCCCCCAACCTCCGTAGTGTGTCTCTGGTTTATAGTTGTTTGCTGATTTTGATTTTCACTTTGTATTAATTAGTCTTTTTCCTGGTCCTTTATTTAGGTTTTCTAAATTCCTGCTATGAGTGAGAACATCCAGTATTTTTCTTTTTCTTTCTGACTTATTTCGCTGAGCATGATCCCTGCTAGCTCCATCCATGTTGCAGCAAACTGCATGTGTTTATCTTTTTTGATTGCTGAGTAATATTCCATGGTGTATATGTACCACATC